TGTCAAACTGGCACTTGAGACCCGGCCAATTTCCTGGATGGTCGTGTTCTCCTAAGTCAAACTGCTTCCATTTATTCTCCATTCCTATATGTACACAATATACTCTTCCTTCTGCTCTGGCCTTTGCCGAATTCTTCTCAACTAAGTAACCATGGTCTAAAGATCGCAGTTGCTAGGGTTTAACTTACTTAACACCCTGCGATGGAGCAAGATTGGTGAAGGAAGGCAGAGTAGGGTAGGTGTTTCGAAAGTCCGTCTCACTATAAAATAACGCAAGGAAGTCATCGTTGCTGGGCCTGACTTGTCCAACTACCGTATTCTATATGTACCATGTACTGTCCAAAGCCCCACCATGACTTTTCCTTCTGAACTGTGTTTATAATTTACACTCATCGCAGTATAAGCATACCAGGACCGCGTGGATGACTGCTGGCTAGTAACCAACAGTACAGAAGTAGGCATACAAAGCGACGGGAGCAGAGTTCTATTGAAAAGAAATCAGGAAAAATTGCATAATTTCAGCTTGCTGAGCATGGACGTGCACACGCAATAAATTATGGGAAGAAAGTACGTGAGAACGAGCTCATGATCCCAATTGACTTGAAACCGCGGAGTCCCAGTTCAAAGCCATGAGGTACCAGGCCATTAAGGACTCCCTTGAAACATCCGAAGCCTCCCGACCAGTGGGTTGGTCCAGGGGAACCACTGAGAGTATAGACGACCTACAGGGCCGAAAGCAAGACTTTAGTAGAAGCTGAACAAGTAGAATGATCGGACTTCGTTGGGGCACAGCAATGCCGGCAGCTAAATTACACCAAGTTCTCTTGGGAAAAGAGGATCAGGTTTCGTGCTAGCTAGAGCCAACTCTTCGGATCAGGAGAGTAGAAAACTACATAGCTGAGATAGATAAACAGCAAGCGGACAAAGTGCTTGTTACTTCGGAAGCATTAGTATTTAGATGGATGTCACACATGGGTAAGTTAAAGGAGAAAAAAAATGGAACAAGAAAGGGCGAATACTATTCGACTGTTGGCTTATGCCTTCCTGAAGCCAGGGGCACGCTTTCGTCAAATTCATGGAGTTCTAGTGAATTATAACTCCTTAAATACTTTTACGTAATTACGTGTCTTTTAAGACAAACCCAAAACTAATTTACACGGTCAAAGACTCCCATCACCTTATTTGAGTTCGTATAAAAGCATTCTCATATGTTGGGTTATTCCAGTAATTGCGCCCAAGTATTGACGTTAGCATTTTTACAGGAAAGCCTGGTTGCATCAAAAAGTGCCAGCCCACACCGGCTAAACTGCCGCGTAACGCAAAGAAGGCAGTCCTACTACCGATCTAAATTCGAGACACGAACAACTCAATTAACTTATCATAGGAATCGGCGTGGCTGAAACGTGGTCACAGCCTGCTTGCCTTGCTTATTTGTTTGTTGGCGGCGTATGCCATAAAAGCCTTAGCTTTCTATACCAGAATTAGTGGAATCCATACAGGGTAAACGAGTAACTCGACCGAAGAGTGATTAAACTCACGCTTCCCAGTGGAGCCTCGGAGCTCAGAGCTTTGACTGCAATCAAGCCTCGCCCTTGCTATCGTGGGTTTAAACCACCCCAAGGCTGTCAGATCTATCATCAGAAACAATGGCAGAAACGGGTAATTCATACATAGAGTTGCAGCATTTATAGGATACAGTCACTATGCTGATGTACATTTATAATGATTAACGACTCCCCTATCAAGGATAGTTGTCCGCTTGTGCGCTGATTACTTGATGACCTGCAGAACTTTCATCATCCGTGCTGGACCTGAGCATGCTGATTGTTCAGCCATCTGGCTCCCCGGCGCTGGCGTTAGAGGACGTGTTGGCCTGTGCGTTCCCCAAGTGGCGGCCTGCTTTGGCCACATTCGGCCTCAGCACCGAAAATGGATTGAGCAGGTCATTGCACTACTTTGTAGGCTAGGGGTCCTTGAACCATGATCCAAGTAATTCGCAATTTACACAATTGTCGCCGCATAAAATTTGAATGCGTGGCCGAGTCTCGTCGAATGAGCCGCAACTTGAGAATTGGCGGCATTTCTCCGCACTGCTGCCGTGTATTCGACAAGTTTGTCCGACGTAGTTTTTTTGTCCGCAACTGCACCAGATCGCATAGACGACTCCAAATGTTTCTTGCTGTGGCAGTGGGTCTTTTGGTTTCATTAGCTAGCACTTTATGGTTGCCTCTGGCCTATGTGCGACCCCAACTGCGAGTGGTGCGAGAAGGCGGCCGACGACCTCCTAGACGTCTTGATGTAGAAATTCACTCGTCAACATTTAGTTTTAGTGCGATTCTGTTGCTCGTTTCGTTTGCGCATGCACCAGTTGACAAAGTTGTGCAGGTAGCAATCTTCCCCGAACAACCCTCTGAGATATTGCATTTTGTTAATTTTGTCTTCCGGTTCACTGTAGTTGGTCTCAACACGCCGAAAAAGCGTTTATACGCAACTATGTTTGTGGCTGATTGGGTGATTACTGTTGAAATTAAGTACTTGCATTGTATTTTTCGCTTTCTTATAAACTGTAGTCTTTAATTGAGCCATGGTTCATGGGTCCCCAGTCCATAAATAAGTGCACCGAACTAACCAACCCATATTCGGTGCTGAGGCTCAGTTTGGCCGCGACAATTCGTCACTCTGGAACGCATAGGCGATTGCGACGTCCAATACCTGCGCCAGAGAGTCAGCTGGCCGAGCAAACATCACGCCCAAGTCCAGGAGCTCACGACCCGCACGTCGGCCATCAAGTATTTAACGCACAATCGGGCAACTATCCTCGACAGAGGAGAGCCGTTAATTGCCATGGATATGCAGCAGCACAGCGACTGCATCCTATAAACACCCAAGTTCCCTGTGGATGAATGACCCCTTTCTGCCATCGCCTCTGTTAAATGCATCCGCGACGGACAGCTGAGAGGTGAATAAAAGTATTTTTTTTTCAGCGAGCACATCTGATTCTTCTTATTGATTTTGGTGCCCATTGAGCTCTGCTGTGCGCGCGCCAATGTTTGGGGAATGATAAAAGTTGTCTGAGAGAGAGGGAGCGCGAAATTGGAACTGGTTCTGTCTAGCAACTGCTGGTTTGGTACTTGCAGTTGGACCATGGTGCATACAAAGGGGAGTATGAGAGTAGTTTATGTGTTTACTACTGCTTAAAGCGCGAGATCGAAATATCCTCAATGAGAGATTATGACCCCCGCTCTTGGATAGTCAAAGATCAAAAGACTGGCCTCGGTGAAACCGACACTGGAACGTAAGGCAGAAAAGACTTTACTCACCAATCTTTCGTGTTTCAAGAAGGTCAATTAAGAATGAAATGGATAGCATGTTCCTTACATATATTGTAAATTTGCAGGAACTCGAACCTTCACAAAACATCCGGCTTGAAAATTTCGAAAATTTGACTTTGAGAATTGCACAATTCGCGTACTTTTCGAAAACTGACAAGCTCCGGGAAGTTCTCTTAAAACCTTGCAGATACCCGACACGCGTGTGTGCTGAAGAGCAGGTATGCAGTTATCTTCCTGGTTAGTGTTAAAGAATGCAATATTTTCATCTCCTTTTGAGTTAAGGCTACGGCGCGGAACTCCACGGATCGCAGCAGCAGTATTTAACGCTCAATACCCAAACGTCCGAGTTAGGATACCACATAAGCCGAACATGTAGTTGGGTATGACTGGCTGACGATGGCTATTAGGCCCGAAATAGTCAGCTCAGTCTATCTGTTGTCCATCAGTACTCCTCCACGCCTATATGAGTAATCACTATGCGACTGCCTGCGATGGTTCTCGATTACAACTGACAGATTACAAACTGACCGATCACAACTGACAGAAACGCAGGGCCTGCAGCTGAGCGTTGGATTAATTAACGCTAAATCATCCAAAACAGTTTGGGTTAGCAGCCAGAATTATCCAGACCTGGGAGGCTAGGATGGCTGGCCCATGACCTTTGAAAAGCCAGAAATTGTCAGCGCAGTTCATATTGTCTTTTTCGATACCCCTGCTACATTCAGATGCGGAATGGGGGCAGCTACATAGTGCCTATTAGCACTGCATGTCCACTTAAGATATCTTCTCTACTTGAGAATACACTCAAAGGACTCAGACAATATCTTACACGGTTTAACGCCCATTGTTTACACCGGAGGCAGTTCTTGCTGTGTTCGTGGCATAGTAATAAGGATAAGAAGCATCCCTTGACAGTGAAGCAAAAAGGCAGAACGTACCAAAGGAGGAACTTTGAGGACTTCAGGGAGGCATCATTGGGTGACCCAAAAGCAAAGTACTGCAGACGCATCCCAATGGGAAGAGGTTTCGACTTCTTTACCCGCCGACGCTCATCCCGCTTGCCATTAAAGTGAAACTGTTGCTTATATCTGGTGCCAAAGATAGCCTTCGCCAGGGAGCCCCGCAGGCGCCGCCGGCGTGGGTCCGAGAGAGACCTTCGGGGACCAGTAAAGACCGGTCCGCTCTTGGATCTGTCCTTGTCGTAGAAGCAGACGGGGCTGGGACGAAAAACAGCAGCAGAGTGTGTGGACGTGGTGAGATTGCGATCGCCCTGTTCTTCGGCGTGAAGAAGAAACGCTCCGGTATTGTGCGTATCACCTAATTTGACATCGGTAACCTGTCGGACGTGGTCAAAACAAAACAAATCCAATCCGTTAACACAGCAAGTTTTGATAAGTGGGCAAGATAGTAGGCAACTGACTTATTTTCACGATCCACCAGTCCAATTATGGTTATCCCTAACCCGGAAAATTCAAGGCATACAAGTGAAATTGTAGATTGTAGTGAACATCATAAGGCATTTTTTAAAACCAAAAGATACACTTTTATCAACTACGAAATTTGAATAGGATGTAATTTCCTATCAAATAACTATTCAAATACTATTTTCGTACACATACTTTTATAAAATATATGGTAAAGACAACTTACATAAGGCCCTACAGAGGACATGAGATAAGAGGCCGCCCACGATACAGGCATCTCAGCATCAACGACCCGTGAAAATGGGATTAGGTTTTTGCCTAGGGTGAGCTCTAACTGTAGGGTTAAAAAAGCTCGTTCAAAAACCGGCACCTTGACATGATTGAAGTATCTCACGATTAATATTGCAGCGAAAGAACATTTCAAAAGTTTGATTGACATTTCATAAGATAACATCAACTGTAAATCAGCACTTAGTTATAATATTTTTTATAGTCATGCGTTTACGTATTAATTTGGCATAGGAGATATGAAAAGCCAACGTATTCAATGCAAAATATTAAACACCCTGTCAGCAGAGACTCGGAGGTGACGAGTAGCGCTGACTCCAACGGAAAAACGATTCAGAAAAAAAGGAACATACCTGATAGCGTCGGGAGGTACCGTCTGCACGACTAAAGTAACGCCGCGAATTTTGAAAATCCGCTGTTGGTGATAGGCTCTTGTTCGAGAAGAGGACCAGTCCTACGGCCATCTGCGAGTTGGGGAATCGAGTCACCAGGTAATTGAATTCTAAATCAACGCGAAACGCCAGACCAGCAGCGAGGCGAAGGAAGGGTAATTTGCTGTCAGTCGAGGGTTTGTTCGAAATCGTTACCTTTGTGGGAAGTGTGAGTAAAATTAATAAGTACTGCCAGCCAAGAATTAAAATATTCCTGATAAACCAGAGCAGTTTTTTTATGAGATGACTATATTCTATTTTTGGGCATGTTAACTGAAGTCATGGTTTATTTGGGCATTCCGAAGCGCTTTTGTGTTATAGCGATGTATGGTATATAACCAAAGACGTTTTTTGGCGTGTCAGTCCCTACAATCACGGACTTTTCTGGTAACAGATAATCAACAGCACTAAGTCCGAAGAGGCGCTATTTTCAATGGCTTTTCTTTTAATTCCTTCCACTCCCTTCACATAGATTTTTTGAGTAATATACCATGCTAATAACTTCAGAAATTATCAAGGGTGGGACTCAGAGCTAAGTGTACATGAGATAGCTTTTTGAGACTCTCAATGATACCTGCATCGCACATGTTTACAGTCTAGGTTGGGTTAGGCCTGGCTGATGAGGGCAAATTAGTCAGAAATGGCCATCATGGCCGGAAGACAAGGTGACCGAAGATTTACTGAAGTATTCCTCCTAGGATGACTAGCGATGTAAGCCAGGAGCATAATGAGGTTAAAAACGAATGCGGATTTTCGAAAATTCTATGGTCCTATGCTCTTTAGCAACAGGAGGACCGATAAAACATTAGCAAAACGGCAGCAAAAGATAAACAGAGCGTCGCAAACTGGCCTGAAGCATAGGCCCTTACATGACACAGGCTACGAGTACCCTGCTAAGGATTTGAAACCGCATAAAAGGACGAGAGGACTATAAAACTCACCATAAACTGTTGAACAGTTCGTCGGCCCCAAATGTAATAACAGTCGATCCGAACTATATGAAACCTTCTTCTAGCATCTCAATAGCAGACCACTTTTAGTCCTCACTTGTTTAAGTACTCAGACAAAGGGGACTGTCACCCCTGTATTTGCTGGCAATGTTATCTGCCTAGACTACTAACCGCTGTGCGGCTGCTGACGGGGCTGGAGAATGAGCCCCAAGGCAGAGGCGGATGAGCGATCGGGGAACGTTAATCAACGAGTTTCACCAGTTTCTGTCTCAACTGTAATCACTATAACCAGGAGAACTTCCGTTGACATGTCAAACATGGTCACTCAGACTGGTGTACAAAATATAGTTGGAAAACTCGACGCAGTAAGAAAACAATGGGCTTCAACTAGCTTTCGTTGTCATACCGGAAATGCAGAATGCCCTCTGTCCCCAACTGCTTATTACGCCAGTCACCCGCTGGATAAAAAAATTTCAAAGCTGGATTAAAAAGGCCTGCCTCGAAGTAAAAATTTAGAAAAATATAAGATGTCTCAAATAGACTTGCAATTAATCGGAGAAAACCACCCTCCCACAATAACTTGTGTTGAGGGTTGCCGTCAGACTGAAAGATTATTTGTAGTTGACCCGTTTTCTCGTCGGGGACCTTGTCGTATTTGACGACTGAAAACTCCAGTTTAGATAGATAGTATTCTGTAAAGCTTTTATTTGATAGCATAGCACGCCACACGTCCAAACTGTAGTGTTTGTCATCATAATCCACGATCTGAAAGGGCAGGATGACTTTATTGAGAAAAAGTAGTTGATAATGTTGAAGCGTAGTCGTTTCAGACATTCTCGGCGGTAGTAAATTATTGAGAAGGAGCCAAAACACACGCTTTTTGGCGTACAGATAAAATACATAAATTAAAGAATATTATTAAGGATGAATATTTGAAAATCCGAAGTCACTGCAGATTCACGAAACACAGGGAACACAATCTCAGGAGACAGAGTGAACTCTAATACTAGGCTGCTCCCCACGTTTTATGGATGAGAAGGTAGTTAGTGGGCTCTTATTACAAGGAAGCCGCTGTACTCAAGATGCCGGATGTAGAATAAGACACATTCGGCAAAACGCCGTTGGTTTTCCTTTGATATTATTGTCATTCACCTTGAAACACGGTTGGAATTCCGACCGTGGACGTCGATACCTCGCTAAAACACAAAGGACCAATCAGTGTATTTCCACATCGGCGACAAAGAGGATTATGTTTCGAATGAAATTATTTTAAACCTCTTTGGCTGCACAAAAAGGATACTTAAAATAGCAGCGCCCAGTCGCTTTCTGTTGAGTAGAGGCCTGAACTGTGACGTTCTGAGCAAAAGGGATATTTGAGTAGATGAAGGGACAATATGCAAAAAGAGATCGTGCTCAACAACACATCATCGCAGTAGGAAGGTGACAAACCCTGACCAGTTTTTACATTAAGAACACATAAATATAAAACTTCGGCTACCGTTTTGTATCAAAATGTTTAAAGCAACGTTTCCCTGGTGCAAATATAAATAAGGCAATAACAGCAAAATGATGTATTAGATCCATATCATTTCGAGAGAGCTCGTCAGTTGCCGCCTCTCATTACTTAACGTGGATCACATAAGAGAAGATAGACAATGAATTCATACATAAAAATCGATATAAACACAAGGTCATAAGAAGTGGCCAAGTGGATAATCAATAACATGAGAGGTTCAAACGCTATGGTCAGCAAAAAATAACAGGGAAAAAACGTCTGAGATAACAATTTAGGAGGAAAAA